AAAAAGTCGATTTACTGTTCAGGAGTAAGACTCACGGTTTTGAAACAATTTAGATCGAAATTCGGTCGAAAACGGGTGATGAAAGCAATGAAGTGCTTCCGGGACAGATAATTGAACGCATGTTATAATTTCCATGTCTTACTGATGAAGTGGAGAGAAGAATTTTCAACATATGGCACTTCTCTTCAACTGAACGTTCCTTTCTACAAATGTGCAGTTTCTTTCGAAACATAAAAAGGAAAAAAATTACACGTGGGAGAAATACTCGCTTCCAAATCAACTTGAACAGTCATACCTATCTATACTTTCAGATGGAGGGAAATTCAATCCAACATACCGTTTATTCGTAGGACAGGCAGACATTTCCAGGTGAAGTTCAATAATGTCCCAGAAATGCGTCATTTTCGGTTTTTTTTTAGAACCTTAAATTTTCTCTACAGCATGTTTTGCTTCTTTGATGAAGTTATTGGAATGCTGCACCAGTTCAAAATTTCCATTTTCTGCATCAGTATTTGTCAAATAATCCCTCTGGCCCATGAGCAGAATCAGGACCAAAATTATCTATACTATACTGAGATTCCAGTTTGTTGATACGAGATTTTAATCGCACGACGCTTATGGAGCAACTGGAGGAACCAAGAAAATATTTTTATGCCTGAAAATTCGCTCTACTGAAAAGTTTTCCCTAATAAAAGAAATTATTATGCGTAAGAATCTCGTTAAAGTTGACCCCATACATTAAAGTAATTTTCAAGGTCCTGTCCAATAACCAAAATGATAAATGTTTTACTTTATAACGAATTTCTCGTTATATCGAAGCTATTTTAGTGGTCCCAATGGCTTTGCTGTAATAGAAAGATACTGTAGTCGAGTAAAGTAGTGTTCTTTTGAACATCACTCTTCTTTTTTGCAGGAGAAAATAGAGGTATAGCTGTGAATCGGAAAGAACAAAATGTTACAATCAATAATACAATTTTATCGATCAATTTGTTCATCAGGTTATGTTTTCTTCTATTCGGAAATGTAATTTTGCGATTACAGTAAGCCTTAGATTTTTTCTGTTGAAATTACTCAGTTGAATAACTTTTACAGACAGTGAGAGGGGTTCTTTCGATGAGATGAGGCTACACTCATTGTGAAAACGTCTGGATGAGAACATCTGCTGATCGCATTAATTGATGATATTTTAAAGATAAATGCTCGATTCTGAAGAGGGCAAGATTCCTTATTCTGATATTTTTCAGTTTCTACGTCGTGTGAAAGTGAAGCTTTGCTGGAGCCCAATAATACAAAATTGGAAATAATGTACAGGATGTTTTGATATCCTGACACTGTTTATGGCGAAGAAAAAAAATATTTTTTTTCGGGATCTACGGTATGTTCACATTTCCGAAGAACTTCTTCCAGCAATGTTTGTTTGAATTTTTGACAGTTTTCGAACCTTTCTATTTGCGTCGAGCAGAAAAAATATCAATGATACAAATTCCCGAGCGTATCTCTGATGTACAGTATTTTGAAAGCCGAAAATGACTGAAAGTGAGCGTCACGGCTTTGTTTTTCAGTTTTCATTCCGATCTGCAAATGTTAATAAAATTTTTGTATTTTTCCCGGTCCTCGTATCTTGATGAATCACGGCCGTGGGAAATGTGACGTATAGGGCAGTTATTCCCCCGAAGTTCATATTGTGCTGTGAAATCGCTTGTTTTTCTCATTTCTTTATCTGGCGATGGCCCCGACGAAAGCGACGACACATACGACGAAAGACTTCGACGATTCCTTGCTCGATATGCCATAGAATAGAGAGTGGAAATAATACGAGAGAACATTCAAGGGTGTGGAACCCGCCTGTTCAACACCAGTCAAGTGTTGTCTGGGAAGTCGTGTACTTGCCTGAGAACGTCTGATTAGTGTCGTTAGACCCAGTTGTTGCTAGGTGGTACCACGAGTGCTTGACTATGACGTACAAAACGTGACAGAAAAACGACAGAATTACTGTATAAAATAGTTGATATTTTATACAGTAATTATTTTCGTGTACTGTACAAGTAAAAAGACTCCATGCGAAGGGTGTGAAAGGCTTTATTCAACTCCTTCAATTTCCAAAATTTTGAAACACTTGTTTTTGTCTCCGCGACGATAATTTATTGCCACGTGGAATGTTCTTGAATCACGGAAATTCTTCCCGAGTGTTTTCCAATAGCCGATCATGAAAAAATATTACCGGTTGTGAAGTGCTTAAAAAAGGTGTGCAAATTTCCGAGTGTTTCTGGTGATGATGAAGATACCGTGAAGTTCTAACGTCCGTATCTCGAAAGATTGTCCAGATATCGGGCAGATTTTTTTTCAAGTGTTCAACCTAAGGACACTTGAAACTGAAAAAAAATCTGCCCAACATCTGGAAAATCTTTCAAGGTACGGACGTTTTACAACAATTGTTGGAAAATGTAAAAACTTCATTTTTTTCAAAAATTTGATGCTGTGTTTTGGACAAATTGAGCTTCTTATTTTCACAAAAATTGAGAAAACTGTATATTTTGTTAAAGACTTATCATAATTCATTATCAAAAACGGACTAATTTTTGGCTTCTAATTGCAGAGTTCTTTCCATCATCTGTGCACAGTACTGAATAGGAAAACCTCTGTTCTTCGCTTTTTGGCTCCTTTTCACCCAAAAAGATCAGATTATGTGTGGTTTTATCCTGCACAGGTATTTTGTGTATTTTTAAATCGAGGAACATTATTGTTATTCAATGTTTGGGAGGCTTTTTTCTAATTTTATTTAGGAAAAATGACGTGTCCGCATCTCGGAGCACCACTGTGGTAAGCATGCCGTTCGTTCCTTTAATAACCACACCTCTCACGTAACGCGAGGAAATACGAGAGATTTTTACAGCTTTTGATTTGTTGAAATTGACTCATCACGAAATTCTATTTTTTTTTTCGGTGCGAAGGAAATCGTGAAATGGATCAAGTACAGTACAGTATACGATATTAATCCTTGGATGTGCATTTGGAAGTAAAAATGTCGTGGTTGTTTTCTTTTGAAGGGAATTTTATTCTCGCGCTCAATGTATCTCGTGGGAAATGGCATTTAAAATCTTGTATCTTATTTATCCCGATGTCTTGTTTAATTCATAATGCATTGGGGTTTTCCGACGGTTTCAATGCATTGTTCACAGTTTCTTCATTTCAGTATCTTGAAGTATACGATTTCTTGGGTACTGTATTTCAGTTTCAAAATTAGGATATCCCATATGACCCTATTCAAGGTCAAAACCATAACTTGAGGCAAGCCTTTTCCTGATGAGGATTAATTTTATTAATTGCAGTTCTATTATTTAGACTGGATTAGGTTGAGAATCTAATCATGTTTGACATGTTAATTATGTTTAGACTCTGAATGCATTTTTCGAAGTAAAGTACTAGTGGATAATGCAAGAAAAAAAAAAAAAAACTTTTGGACACATGAGATGAAGTGTGACTTCGAAGACTTCCAACGGACTTTCTTACACGACTGTGGCTGCTGGGAGCACATGTTCAAAATAATTCCTAGTATATAACTTTTTGATTGCAATACTGTACATCTACAGATAAAATAGATCCACAGTCGTTGGGATATGTATGAATGCCGTGTCTTGCTAAAAATAGAGTTGCAGCTCCCTTCGTTGATCACTGGATATAGCGATCACTGAACTTGGGCGAATATTGACACTTCTATGAAATCGTTCATCGCTCGTACGTTTACTAGTTGTTCCTTTGTCTTTCTCTTGAAAAAGAGTGAATTTAATTATAACATAATTATCTGTGGTATCATACGGGATTATTTTTGAATCGGCGAACAATTTTCGGGAATGACTTGAAGGTGATTTTCTCGTTGTTCTACCGACGTGTTCTTCTAAGCCGTGGAAAAGCAACCAGATACTTTTCTATGGAATTAGGAGAAATTATCAATTGACTGTGATTTGCTTCGCTAGAATTTATGCCGTTTCTTCATGGTCTCAATTCCGGCAAGATAAATTTAATGCTCGGGTTATCAAAGCAAGGACAATTGGCTCGGTTAATAAGCAAGGCGGGAAAGGCGTACGAGGATTGCTTAAATTCGTGATTTTGATTTCGTCGGGTGTGAATACAGCAAAACGAAGCCTTCTTATCCGTGATCGAATAGTAAGTCTGTAAGGAGGATGAGAACAACAGCTGGTCACGTTTTCCCTGCTATATAAGTTTTTTTAGTGGGATGAAGTCGGGATTGGGATTGTTGCTGAGGAACTGCGCCGGTCGCGGGAGGGGTCGCAAGGAGTTCCTTCCAGCTTCCCTCTGCTTTATAATCCTGACTCTACGCAGTGTTGGGTACCCCGGTGTTGCGCAGCACCGGGGTAGGGCGCCTGCTCCCAGACTGGAAGTCCGCGGTTCGAATCCCGGCCAGGGGTGGCAGTGCGTCTGAACGTGAACGCATCAAAAGCAAACCAAGAAACCTATCGGTTAAGATTATCGCACCCATTCAAAGCAAAGCAAATATCTCGCAAATCGTATAAAATGTCGTCAAACGACCCCATCAAAAACGCAAGGCCTCCAAGGCTGTGCGTTTTTGCCAGATATTTTTAAAAATTTGGTCAACATCATTTTCTGTACAGGATTTTTTTAAATCATAAAGAGTAAAGAGCTGGAAAGGACTGTACTTTTTAAAAACTGCAGCGCGTCTCATCAACTGTGTATCGCGATTTGTTAGGTAAGTTGACGAATTGCTTGGAGAAATTTCTTCAGAATGTGAAGTCATCCAGATGAATACCGGAAGAAATATTTACTGTAAACTCCAGTTCCTTGAAACCGATTTCGTGATGTCGAGAGACGACATTCGTATTTCGCCTTCGAATTTATTGGTCCAATTCCAACGGCTTTGGATAATAGTTCTTGGTTTCACTTTTAATTTCTGCCAGAAACCTGTCAAAACATTTGGTGATGGGTACTGTATAGAGTAAAAATATATGGATCGAATTTTGTGTAATTTTCTGTCGTTCTTCCAGCAAGTGACGTGATATTCGAAGTGTTGCTCCGCGCGGACGCGAAAGGAACGCCGCGTAGTGTGCAGTCGAGAAAGTGTCTCGGAAGTGAACAGGCCCGAGAACGTCAAGATGTCGTTCCTTCGCGGTGTGATGAAGAAGACCGGCGTTACGGGACACAAAGACGACGCCGGCAAGGAAAACGGACAACCCGCGCTTCACGGCAACGACGCCAAACCGTCTTCGGACGCCACTACTCTGTGGGGGACGCCGGTAGTAACGAATGGCGGCTGTGTTGCCAACGGGAAGCAACAAAATGGCGGCGTTGGCAATGGCCACGATGGCGTCGGCAAGCCTCAGCAGCCGCCTTCGCAGACGCAGCAGCAACCGCAAATCGTGCCGGTGACGAGGCCCAAGTTGCAGTTCCATTGCCAGTTGGCCCACGGGAGTCCGACCGGGATTCTGGCCGGTTTCTCAAATGTCAAAGAGCTTTACCAAATGATCGCCTCGTGTTACAATCTTCCTGTATCTGAGGTGAGCAGGCCATGTTTTTTTTTCCCCTTTTTACTGGCTCTTGACGTCATAGTGCAAACTTCGTCGAAATTTGATGTTACTGTATTTTCAAGATTGCAGTTGGCTTTATTTTTTACTTCACACTTTTCGCTTCATGCTATTTGAAAGAAAAAATCACCCAGCAAGTACGTATATGAAGGTACAGTAATAATAGACTGAACGTCGAAAACTCGAACCTCAGGAAGCCGATTACTTCCCTTTTTTTGAGTCCTTGTGTGAACCCCTGAGAAACAATACACTAAAAACCCCTAACCCAAAGGCTTTCCCTCTCGAACCTTCGTAACCTGGATCTCATATATGCCTTTTGGTTCTTACTTCATCGACACAGGGAAGAAATGAACGATAGAAAATTTAACTTGATGTGATCTGAAATGAAGTGAAAGACTAATTGGGCAAGTGAACCTTTACCTTCAAGTTCAACATCCTGTCAACTCATTCATTGTGCAGTTTGACGCCCGAACAATTGACGCATTTTAGGTTCCTGAGTTTCTCTGTATTTATTTCCAGATAACAGTTGCCTCTTTTTTTTTCAACTCAAAACCTCCCTACTCGATTTTGATGGCCTCGTGAAGTTTGAGTTGAAAAGGTTCGACTGTAGCATCGTCAACTACGCTATAAATAACTGTGCAAAAATTACAGTACATTTAATTTTGAAGTACTGTACAGTACGTGATCTTGACTGTTCGTTGCAAGGGAGTAAAACAAATGAAAGTGATGCCAAAGTTTTCTTCAAGAAATTATACAGATGCATCGGTAAGATCATCACAGTTATCTGAAAAGACGAAATGCTACCGGGAAAAGATCTGCATTATTCTTCACCGGAGTTTTCTTCATTTGACAAGGTCTCCGAATTTTAGTACGTGAGGTTTAAAAATGAATATTGTGCTTCTTAGTTCCTTCAAGTGTCTTGCGCTTTTTCGAATGCTAAATCGCAGTAGATTCATCAAGCAGTTACAGTGTAGAACCGTTTTCATCCCCAATTCCTCATATGTGGTGGAGGAAAAGGCGAAGACAAAACGGACGAGATGAATTGGACACATTCTAAAGCACCTCAAGCTATCTAGAAACTCGAGAAAGATGCTTAAAGGAATTCAGAAAGCTTTTGGAATCGAACCTTCGATGCGAACAATTTCATTAAACATATTTCAAAAAGTTTTTTTTTTTTCTCGTATATCCGTTGCAAATGTGCAGGTACGGAGAACAGGGCTTACGCTCTTTTTTGATCTGTTCATTCGACTTCGTTTACTTTTTTGATGCCCAAATTTTTTTTCGGTTTGATGAATGTACTTGAATATGAAACTGGCTTTTTACGGAATGCCACACTATCAGAGTAGGTTAATTATATATAATTTTGGAAGAGAGTGGCTCCTAAAAGCGAGGGATAAAAAGGTGTACGTGACCCCGAATGCTGCCGAGCTAATGATCACATCTGGTCTCTGCTCACGTGTCTCCTCTCGCAGATCCTCTTCTGCACCTTGAACACGCACAAAGTGGACATGAACAAGCTCCTCGGGGGACAAATCGCACTCGACGACTTCATCTTCGCCCACAAAAAAGGTAAGAAACCTTATTGTCTTCGAAATGTCTTCGGAATCCACCGTTCGATTTTTTTTTTCTCGAGTGAGATATCGAAGCACTTGCTGGAGGCGAGAGAGCGCGGAAATCCGCTTCGAGGAGGATGACGTTTTCTTGGAAATTTTATTTATTTTTTTTTTACCGGGAAAGTGTCTGCAGAGTCTTCACAGTACCTGCCAATCTCGACATCCCTTTCATTTTGACACGAAAATAACTAAAACGTAGCGTAGTTGACTAAATATATCCTATGACTTTTCTTTCAATACTTTTTCTTTTTTTCAAAGGAAAACCAGAAAAAGATTTCTGACTGAACGTTTTCTTTGGATAGGATTACGATTCACTGGTCCCATCTGCATATTCATGAATCATCAAAAAGAGACCGTACTGTGATACTGGACTTTCCAAAAACAATACAAGAAAACCCCGTTCAAATAAAGTATAATGCTTGACCAAGATGTGATAATCAGTTAGCAATGAAAACGTTACGTGAAATTCTGGAAATATATCGTTAGTAATGCTCATTTATCTCATTGTGGGCCAAAAATCTGAATACTGGGTATTGAATTGAAGGAAATTGGTCGCATATCAAAAGCGGTATATTTTTATGTCTGCGTTAATACGCAATTCGCATCCGTTTAAAAAATTATTATTTTCTGGGTTTCCAGAGATCTTCCCGATTAAAACTCAAAATTCGTCGTTATTTCGTTTGACTGCCATTCGATTTTTTTTTTCAAAGATAACATCCAGGTGAATCTTGCCAACTGGAATCTTCTCAAGTGAAAAACCTCCTTTTGATTTAAAATTGTATTTCTTTTTTAAGCCCTGATTCTCCGTGCGAAAATTGTAACGTATACCTTCCTAACTAGTATTACTTGAATTTATGGAGGACTTTAAATTATTATTCTGGGAAATCTCCTGAGAGAAGAACAATAAAAACTAGCTTGATGCTTTCAAAAAGGAAGTGAGTGAATAATTGGGGAAATGTACCCTGGCATCCAAGTTCGGCGTACTGTCAACTCATTTATCCTAGCAGTTTGAGGCCCTAAGGATCAAAAATTGTATCGTAATTTTATCGTACATTTATTACAGAAAATATTCTTGTATTCTAAACCCCCAAAAAAGCGAAATCAATTTTATCATGGACCCCTCTAGGTTCGAACCAAGGAGGTCGAACAATGATTAATCCAAGTTCGAAGAACGGAGGAGCAGAATTGAAGGGAATTTAATCTAGGAATTTCCGCCAGCGTATGTTTTTAAATTTGCAATTTTGAACTATTCTGAAGCTAGTCTAGTCAAGTGTAAAATTATAAAGTAACTTTTGTGAACGCGATGCACTGTCAAAATAGACGATAGCAATTAATCATGGATTTTATGATGGGCCCGTCCAAATTCGAATCATGGAGGTCGAACCGATACGTGATCCACGTGAGGAACAGAACTGAAAAGAAATTAAATTTCGGAATTTCCACGAGGGAATGTTTTTAAATTAGTGATTTTGAACTATTTGAGGTTAGTCTATGCAAAAAATGTGAAGTAACTTTTGTGAATCCGATGCGCTGTCAAATTAGTCGATAGCAAACAATCAAGGACATCGTTCCGAGTGCATTGTTTTCCCTCACCTTATTGATCAATAAGAAGTGAACGCACGAAGAAGGGCATGGGAAATGAACGTGACCCGTATCCACATGAGGTTCGGTTATACTGTCGTAAGGAATGACGAGATTATGCTGTGGACGAGTTGCTGATGAGAAGCATTCGAAAGCAATTAACGGTCCAATGACCGTCCAATTTTCCCCCGCGGCCAGCTTTCCTCTCATCTGGCGCGGATTTCCTTTCCCTGCTTTCCTTGGCTGAAAGCTGATGACGCAGGCGGATTTCAGACCCGTCGAATCCCTTGCCGGTCATTTAAAGATTTTTGTTTGTTTGTTTTGGTGCAGCACTATTATTTCACGCGACTTTTAGACCCTTTTTTTTTATTCGCCGATATGAACTTGAAAGCAGAATAATAGGGAAGTTTGATCTCGTTGTAGAGTCTACTGCGCCCAGGAGTAGGAGGACAAAATCCGAAGTTAGGAGTGTGTCGAAAATGCGAACCGGTTAATTTACATATTCTCAAACTTACTACGAATATTTCTACACGTGAGGATGAGTTTGAAGCAGGACAACTGGAACTTTCTGAACGCTCTCCAGAAAACTGACCACGCGCATCAGTAAAAAAAAAGAAGCATGCATGAAAAAGCATCTGGAAATCTTTCTAATTTTTTGTTCTTCTTCAATGGAACGTCAATAAGAGTCCTGCTTCCATATGATGAGCTTGCAAGATAAATGTGAGCTCATGGTTGCCATTACTAATAGCGCTCAACACAATTTTTTTTTTTTTATGCATTGCTATCTGAAAATTGTGTTCGTATTTTTTTTTTGCTCAACGGCTAATTTGCGTTTTCATCGCATTTCCACCATAAAACGTATAGTCTCTGGCATTTTTTACACCGAAGGATCTTTCAGATGAGTAATTAATTATTTTTATGTTTTTTCAATACAGTATTTGGACCGAACAAAAAATCGATGGCGTCTTCTACAAGAGTGAAAATGAATGTGAATGTTTTTTGCTGGATCGTTTCTCTTCCGATTATTTTAACGTAGTTATGCTGTAGAAAAATTACGAATGTAAAATATCATTATATAATTCTAGCAATCGTTTTGCCCGGTTTCAAAGCGTGAAAAATGGAAAAAATGGATAGTTTTGGGACTACGTAAGCCATTCGATGCACATATTGAATACCTCTTCACTTTAATTTAAAGAACTATAAAAGATCACCGTCGTTTTACAGTATCATATTAACCTGAGGCCATTGGATTATTCCTCAAAATTACAAACAATATTCATTTCTGCTACCAGTGAGCGTTATTTAGATGATTATTTTGCTTATCCTTGGAAATGAAATGCACTTCTACGACATGAACGTAACACTGGAGCGATGAGAAAGTTCAAATTCATGCCTGATATGAAAATTCGATCCAAAACGTCTTGTTGCTGTATTTATGAAATGAAGTTCTATGGCCGCGCAGCATTTTAATCCACTAGTTTATGTCTCGTGAGAATAACACAGTTATGATCTTAAATCATTATTACTGTACAGTGTCGAAGAATGTTTTCGGGATAGAAATCGGAACAGCAAGGGTTGAGCTGAAAAACAATTCTTGTTCCAGGAAAACGATCTTTGGCGGCAGAAAAAATTCTGCTCTATTTCACGCATTTTCGGATTTTGTTATTGTTCCAAAAATCAACGGGTTATTTTGTTACGTAGCACCTTTCTACTCTTCACTCAAAATACTGTATAAGGCTCCCTTGTTGCAGATTTTTAAAAATTTTTTGGCGTGCCCTTGCTTTCTTTTCAATCTTCTCGAAATTGTTAATTGAGAATGTGGCGGCTGTTAATCAGGCGGAATTACTCAGGAAGCCCTTGCCCTTGGAATTCATGTAAATTTTTTCTTTGTGCCAAAAATGTTTTTAAAAAGAATATTTGTTTTTTAGCTCAATCAAATGCATTTTTGATTTCTATCCCAAGAACTTTTGTTGGACCCGTCATATACAACGAGTCATTCGGGAGCCTATTTATTTTTTACAACCGTGCCCATGGAAATTCCGCACGATTTCGCCAAATTTCGATCTCGAAAACATCCTTGACCCACATTTTTACAGCACTGTTCTAATAATATTGGATCATGAGTTGGTTATTCCCACAACGCGAAAATTCGTGGATAAAAATGCCAGGCGATCATAGAAATTTTATCAGGGAGTCGGTATTTCAAACGCTTACTCTGTTCTGGTTTGATTTTCATGGCCACTCGCTGTCGACATTACCTGATGGCCTCATGCGATAAGTGTTTGTTTTTTACGTTTCGGTGTTTTTTTCTTTCCTGCAGGACAAGCCAAAGAGATTGAAATAACGAAAATAGACGACGCCCTCGGCCTGACCATCACCGACAACGGGGCAGGGTACGCGTTCATCAAGCGCATCCGCGACGAAAGCGTCATTGACAAGATCAAACTCATACAGGTATGTATACTATATATGGTGAACAGAAATGTGGATTCCTTCGCTTTGTTTCTTTCCCCTGTATTGAGACTCTGTTGAGATGCATCGATCCTTGCTGATTTTTCTTGAAAGAGTTGGGTATATTCGGGTGATCATCAGGCTTAGACCAGTGAGATATGCTCTTTGCTGCTTTGTTCCATCACTAGAAAGCATCTCGCAGATGTGATGGTGAACGTATTATTATTTTTCTGAGTCTTGGGGCTTGCTTCATCGAGAAATTCAGAAATATTTATTGTTCAAATGCTGGACATTTATCTTTAGCTGTAGATGCATCAGTTAAACGTTTCAAATTCCAAAGTTCCAGACTCAGGTGTAATAAAATTTTGAGACAGAAGTCGAAATTCGTACGTGTTCTTCCATTTACAGTACTGTATTTTATTGGAGTTCTGCTATTTACTCTTTTGTACCATTTGAAGGACATTGAAGGAAATGTTCTTCAGAAGCGAAAAAATAATAACCGTATTTCTGCGAACATGAACAATCCTTTTTCTATAATTTTAGAAGTTCAAAATGCATTGGGTTTTTCCGACGGTTTCAATGCTCGGTTCACAATTTAGTCGGTGCAGTATCTCGAAATATACGAGTTCTTGGGGTATTTCAGTTTTAAAATTAGGATATCCCATATGACCCGAATTCAAGGTCAAAACCACAACTAGAGGCAAGCCTTTTCCTGATGAATTTTATTAATTGCAGTACTATTATTTAGACTGGATTAGGTTGAGAATCTAATCATGTTTGACATGTTAATTATGTTTAGACTCTGAATACATTTTTCGAAGTAAAGTACTAGTGGATAATGTAAGAAGAAAAAAAAACCTTTGGACACATGAGATGAAGTGTGACTTTGAATACTTCCAACGGACGTTCTTTCACGACTGTTGCTGCTGGGAGCACATGTTCAAAATAATTCCTTGTTTATAACTTTTTGATTGCAATACTGTACATCTACAGATGAAATGGATCACAGTCTTTGGGAAATGTGTGAATGCCGTGTCTTGCTAAGAATAGAGATGCAGCTCCGTTCGTTGCAGATAATTTCTAAAAATTAATTTTACTTTCGCCTGTTGAAAATTCTGGTGTACCTTGAAGTACGGTAAACGGAGAGTCAATGCTGTGTCTGCGTACCCTTTGTTGTGTACGGTGATTCATTCGTGAATTCAATTTAATCGTCTGTGGGGAAGTGAAACAACTAGTAACTTTTCAATTCTCTTCATCAAATGAAGTGCTTGTATAGCGATCACTGAAATCGGGTGAATATATATTTAATCGATTCAAACTTCGATTTCAAAAAATTCGAAGCATCCGGTATCATCCGTTCGTAGATCGTTTAGTGTTCGTCGACACTTCTATGAAATCGTTCATTGCTCGTACGTTCACTAGTTGTTCCTTTGTCTTTCTCTCGAAAAAGAGTGAATTTATTATAACATAATTATCTTTGGTATCATACGGGATAATTTTTGAATCGGCGAACAAATTTCGGGAATGACTTGAAGGTGATATTCTCGTTGTTCTACCGACGTGTCCTTTTAAGACGTGGAAAAGCAAAGAGGTACTTTTCTATGGAATTATGAGAAATGATTAATGTACTATGATTTGCTTTTCTAGAATTTATGCCTTTTCTTCATGGTCTCAATTCAGGCATGATAAATTTAAAGCTCGGTTTATGAAAGCTAGGACAATTGACTCGGCTAGTAAGAAAGGCGGGAAAGGTGAAGAAGGATTGCTTAAATTCATGATTCCGATTTCCTCGGTTGTGAATGCAGCATAAGAAAGACTTGTTTTCCGTGATCGATCTGGAAGTCTGTAAGGAGGATGAGAACGACACCTATTTCCTGCCTGAAAAAGAAAAGTTTTTCAGTGGGATGAATTCGGGCTTGTTGCCCAGGAACTGCTCCCGTGGTGGGAGGAGAGTCACATGATTGGGTTCCAGCTTCCCTCAAACTTGCTTTATAATCCCGACTCTACGTTTGGCATAGTACCCCGGTGTTGCGCAGCATCGGGGTAGGGCGCCTGCTCCCAGACTGGAAGTCCGCGGTTCGAAACCCGGCCAGGGGTTGCAGTGCGCTTGAACGTCTATATCGTGCAACCTGTCTCTCTCTACCACTCTTACACCCTATCTGCAGAATGTACAACCATCCGAATTCGATCTACAAACACCGAAAGTCTATTGAGACAAGTAAGAACGTACGACCCAAAGGGTCATACGTTTTTCGAGATCTGACCTGAAGTCTGGTCAAAATCTTTCTGCATGAGATTTCATGATCACCAATAATAAAGAGCCAGAAAAGACTGTACTTTTAAAAAACTGAAACGTGTCTCTTCAACTGTACTTCGCGAATTGTAAGGTAAGTTTACTAATTGGTTGGAGAAATTTCTTCAGAAAGTGCAGTTTTCCGGACGAACACCTGGAGAAATATTTACTGTAAAATACTCCCGTTCCATGAAACCGATTTTTCGACATGGAGAGATGACGTTCGAATTTCGCCATCGAATTTATTGGTCCAATTCCAACGGCTTTCAATAATGCTTCATGGTTTCACTTACATTCTGCCTGAAACCTGTAAAAACGTATGGTGATGGGTACTGTGTAAAATAAGAGAGAGATTGATCGAATTTACTGCAATTTTTGTTGTTGCAGCAAGTGACGCTTTAAAAAACATGGAGCTTATATTCGCATATTTATATTAAATTTTCGTAAATACTTCGTCTTTGAAAATGATGTCTATCGCGCGAATACAGTACGTCGAAGTGAAATACGCAGAAACGATACAGATGACCTTTCTTCACCTTATGTTGAATAATCCTTTTCTGGGGGGAAAAACCTGAATTAAGTCAGGAATAATAGGTTTCTGGAAAGTCGGAACGCGAGGAAAGGAAATAAATGCTTGTTCTATATGCATCGAATATTAATTGAATTTAAATTTGGTGCATGTGAACTCTTGTGGGTGCTTATATTTAAGTGGGTTTTAAATTCGCATGAATATGGGAATTCGGAATTGGAGCTCTGTAACTCATCCACCCGAGTCGAAATACTCTTTTTAGATTTCCGATGGAAGATGATTTTGCTTGAGTTTTTTTTTCTGTGAATGATTACCGACTAAGAATTCCTTGAAGAGCTGTACTGTATTTAAGAATTAAATTCTTGAATGTGATTTATATATAACTTACAAAAATAACAGCTTCGATACGTACGGCATAAAGTGTTCAAATTTTCGTCGTCAATTTTTCAACTTGACCTTCCTCTGCAAATTGGCGTACTGTACTGCACAGTACAGTACAGTATATGCAAAACAGAAATCGGGGAAATTAATGGAACGCCGTGGGCTAACGATAGCTTCTCGTGGTCGTGCGTGTGTCAGAGAAGAGCGCAGGGTGACCTCTCTTATCTCGATGTCACAGCCTGACCTGTCAATGCCAGAACGTAGCTATTAGGCGTCCCTCAGTTTACGGCGAATTAGGTTGGAATATCAGCCGGGTTTTTGGCGCAAGAAAAAAAAACGATGAAAAATTATCAGCGGGTTCACGTGACATACCTCGCGATTTATTTCAATATTATTTTGCTTGCTATATACGGCAGTTAATTGTTTCAGTTCCGTGGCGTATAAACTATATAGAGCGTCATAAAGGTGCAGTCTTCTTTTGAAAATTAAATTCCATTTCAGCCCATGTCTCATCGTTCAACATTTTTTCGAATATTTTCGATGTAAGTTGTGTTTCATGACTTATGTTCGTACGGATTATTCGTGGACAGTACTGCGAAAGACGTGCAATACTATATTGCTGTTTGTTCATCTCTATATCGTGTATCCCTCTTTAGACCTTTCTTTTGTACAGTATTTCGAAAAAAACGAAATAATCATCAGGAAGAGCTTTTCGCACATTTTACCACTGGAATTTATTTTCGTGTGGCTCCTCACATCATGTGCTTATTAAATGTTCATTGTTGAAAAACGAGTTCTTTCTGTAAAATTATATGAAGAATGCGACTTGCTCAAGATTGAATACTGTAGTGGGGCCCCGAGATGCGGACGAAAATGGTTTCCGCACCTTGTCCATTTATCGGGACTTACGTAAGTCGAATCATGTTCTCGCATAGACTTCAATGAGATAACTTTCAATTGCTCCCAATTCTTGGGGAGGGGAAATGGGAAAATTTCTCAAAAAAAAGTACGGTATGTAAACTTCAAAATGCAGACAACCGCTGTGCAGAAGAAAACATCACGGAATCTGCCCCTTTGACATTAAAAGGAGTCCAACAAGTAAAATATAAGCACAATTTTGCCACACTGTACTCTTCACAGTTGATGGGACACCCCCGAAAAATAGATTATGAATCAGAGTTAGTTTAGGAACGATATATTTTGAATTTCTGTTCATTAAAATTGGTCAATTCCTTTAAGAGATGCAAGAAATTATGAAAAATCATTTTCTGGATATCTGGATCATGTCCATACTCGTATGTCGTGATATTTTCTGGATTTCGGGGCAGATTTTTTTAGGTCTATTTATTTCTCAACTTTGAAGTGTCTCGAAGTCAAATCATCCGTATTTCGGGGCCCTTGATTAATTTTTACGAGAAGCTTCCATTTTTATTGGATGTCAGAAAAAATTGCAGTTTCTTATTATTGACGAACTGTGTCTCCGTGGGATGTGATGAAAGGGAAAAAAAACGGGTCGGGTCGGGTTTGATCCCGGGTTGCGTGCACCCACTTGTCTTTCGGTCCAGATTGACCCTCGGAAGGGAGTGGAATGATTTACTGTTGATCGCGAGCTTTGCTAATTCGTCGCCTGACCCGGGTTGCTGCTGTCCCTCGCCCGGGAACCTTTCTTTTGACCCATTTCCGCTGGCCTTCGTCCTCGAGGGTGTTTGTGTCAGGGTCGACGACAGCATTGTGGCTATATGTAACGATTCCCTCTTGTTTTTTTCTCTTCTTGTTCTATATGCTGCTGTGGGTCTTGTTTCTCCATTCGTTGCTCCTTCCATCGGTCGTTTTTCTCTCGATGTCGAAATGAGTCTCCACTGCGGATTTCGACTGCTTTCAAGTATGAAGAAACACATGCTTTTCTCATAGACGAGTTCGAGAGTCTCGGAAACCCAAGTGGAAAATTCGACTGAGTCTCGAAATATTTGTCGACGGATTTTATCGGGAGCTTGGGCTTCTGTTCGACGTTGCTTTCGTGGCTGTAGCTGTCGTTTTTTCATATTCATTCTAGACTTATCCAGGACTGGAGTCGGTTTCTGGTTCGTGGATGTCGACTTCGGGTTTTGTTTTTTATTTAAAAAAAAGGGGTTTAGGGTTGGAAAATATTTGCGTGGCTGGCAGGCACTGAATGCAATTGAAAATAATTAACTTATTCACGATGACGAACGAGAGAAATGTGCTGAATGCTGATTGCATAACGCCAGCAGCCAGCAATCTCGTCGGCAAACTTTTCCGCACAATTTCCGGTTGAACTGAAACCGGTCAAATTTGAGTTGGATTCCTTTTTTTGTGGTTGTTTAGTTGGGTTCAAGTAGAGTTCCTCGATTATTTTTTCCTGGTTCTTGGAAAAAAATCGGCTTGGAAAAACTGCTGTGGCGGTGAATTGAAGCTTGCAATTTGTTGATGATCCGATGTTTTTCCGTGTTTCTGCGGAAGTACGATTGAAACACTGATTAAACCTCGACACTATCCCCGAAAATTGTTGTAAACGGAAGTCTCATCGTGGAAGTGAATGAGTAATCCTGCGTCCGAAGAATGTTTTTCTATTCCACCTCCAAATTTTACGATGAACTTTTCTGAATTTGTGAATTCTTCTCTGTATGAAACCTTCCAAGAACTATCTCAATTATTTCTCCAGTTACTGCTGTGCAGTTTTTCGGCTTTCAAGATCCGGAAAATGACTTCAGGTTCCGAAGTGTTGAAAATGACATACCCGATCCTAGGCAGTGAAATGAGTAAAAGTAAGATGCACCCGAATCATGGACTGGAGTAAATCCTTTCGTAAAAAACAGAAATATCCGTGATCACACAGTTCACGCTAATTTTAATGCGTGCAACTTAATTTTTGAGACAACATTTTTGTCATCATTTCTGGTGTTGGAAAACCAGATTTTCTGGGATGGTAAAATAAGTTTTCTTGTTGGATATGGACGCTGAAATTTAAAATTTACGCAAAAAGCATTTTAATTTATGTTGGATTTTGGTTTTTTAATTCACATTTTCGTCTTCATTTTGATTTGAACCAAAATACTGTACTTATTTGGCTTAAATACGTATTCTAGTATCATGAAAATAAAATTTTTTAATCGTCACTTGTTTTCAAAGGGGGATATGGACTTGAATCGGAGAAAAAGTTTTTAAACAAAATTACTGGAAAATATATATACGTACGGTACCCATGAAAATATATATTTGAGTATAATATAAATTATTCCCCACTTCTTGAGGGAACGGGTGCGTGTGGTACTTGAAGTACTTGAGTTAATACGGGCCGTCAATCCCGGGAAATAACAGTACTGGTTTTCCCAGTTTGCTTGATCGAGAAAATTCATGATATAAAATTTTCGATGCCCTACAAATATTGGCCTGCAAAATACGTTTTGTTGCTTTGACGGCGATCGGAATACGGTCGATTCGCTGAAATCACGCGATTCGTTTGTGAAATAGAGACAAGTGAGTTCTACTATAAGGTTTGGGTGTATACAGTATATAGAAGAGAGCAATGCGGGTTCGTTTACCATGTGGGCACTGAGGGGGAAAATTGAGACTGAAAAGTGGATCAGTGTCCGATGTCCAAGTCGCGGAGCTCGCTGTAGTATGCATTTGCGAAAAAGAGTAGACATTGGGACTGAAGCGAATGGATGCTTTTTTCCATCCCTTTTTTCTCAAATTTTTTACGATTATAGTTGCACTGATACTCCAGTACATGCATGAAGGAATTTTAATAAGTTCAGTGAGACCCCGACTTACAGAAGCCCCGACGTTCGGGCGATTCGACTAAGAGACACTTGAAACCTAAAAAAAAAAAATCTGCCCTGTCATTCAGACAGCATTTGATCGTACGGATACTTTTCCAACATTTCTGGGAAAATGTGAAATATTCATTGGAAATATTCTTTTGGATATCTCGAATTGAGCTATTACGTTGACAAAACTTGAAAATGTATTTCATTACACAATTACTCAAATTTAAAATCGAAAACAGGTTGATTTTGTCCTTCTCTTTTGGAATACTGTATTCTCCATTGTCTGTGCACAGCATAGAAAGACTTTTACTTTTTCTTTGCGTTTTGGGGATACTTCTGATGCCTAAACATTTGATTCTGTATGGTTTTCTTCTGTTACATTTAATTCAGTTTTTTGGGGGATTTAATCCTAGTTTTTGATGAACCGGTGAATCGAATAAGTAAGTTCTTTTAGAAGTCAATGGGCAAACTTGACCCAACAGACAGACACTTCGACAAACAGAATCTGGTCCAAGCACTAATTCTGTCAACATCTCAGTGCCCAACTGTATTTACTGATTCTATATGCAAAATTTTTGCAATACAACATTTTGTTGATTGATCAATTGATCAACACGCTTTCTTTTCCACTTTTCAGTGTTCATAAGGTTCAAGCAATGTTTCCACATCCTAACCCCCTCCCCTCTGCACCCACATTCATCCAAACACATTCCATCACATCAAGATGGAAAATAGAGAAATACACTGTACAGTACTGTGTATGGATATTAAAATGAAAGAAAATACATCCCAATATGTACAATTGCACAACTTATGTAAATGCATACACCTTCTTCCCCTCCCTGAAAAAAAGGCAATACAAATTGAAACATATGGTAATGACTGAAACCCAGAGTGAAGCACAAGGTGTTCCGCCTGCTCCAAAATATGGTTTAGTTGATTAAACAATTTGGAGAGAATCCTTGAGGATAAATTGTATAAAGTCAACAGTTTATCTTGGTCCTCTAAGATCTTGGAAAGAGTCTTTTCTTTGAATTTTAAGAGTCCCAAATATTTTTGAAGCTCAATTCTGTATCTGTGGAGTGCTGGGCAAAAGAAAATAAGGTGATCTGGCAAGGCATTAACCCTTTAAATTTTTTTGTGTTACAGGTTGCTATCATTGGGAAATTATTCAATGATAATTATGAGCTAGAAGGTAGTTGTGCAAAAGAATGACTCTGAACCAAGTTTTATTAAACAAAAGACGACTCAGGTTTGAAACACAGAAAAAGAGAAGAAGGAAAAGATTAATTGCTCTTCCTTAACGTGAGGAAATAATATGTTGTACAATATATCCTTGGTTCTTAACGCAACCTTTGTCAAAGGACGCAGCTTTGCACTCTGTCCTCCTCTTCCTGGATCTGCCCCTCAATTGAGAAGTACCCTTCTGGGTACGCCAATATTGTGTACCGATTTTCTGGAGTACTGTATATAAACTCCAGTAGCATCTGCCCCAAATTGGGCATTAGTGAGCTGACCATTGCAGAGAGATCCTGTGTAGGAAAACTCCAAGGTCTTGTGGTTGAGTGGTTTGTGGTTGACTGAATATATTACTGCTCTGCGGGAAACTTGTGTTATTCACTACTCTCCCTTATAAAGGAGATACGCGAATCTTAAGAGAGTATCAAGGAAACTTGTAGGTGTAAATATAGACAACAAAGTCTTCTGTAAAGCTTGGACCTACTGTAATGTACTATATACAGTACTGCGGTTACAAGACTGCTCTATGTACACTCCATGATTGCTGCTATCCGGAAGAAGAAAGCTGAAATTCATACCGAATGATGGGGGGATCTGGTTTCTTTTTGCTCTACATCATAGGTGGGTGATCATTTGGAGCGGATAAACGACAAATCCCTGATCGGCTGCCGTCACTTTGAAGTCGCCAAGATGTTGAAGGACATTCCCAAGGGGACGAACTTCGTCATCCGTCTCATCGAGCCTCTGCGAGCCGGCTTCGGTGAGTCCTGTCTGTGCTCCTTGAGCCGAAGTGTCGACCAATCGAATCGACACCTGTAAGGGACGTGGTTCAAACCGGGTCCCTAAGTTAAAGGGTCGGACCTCGCTATGGCTTTTCAGACCCCACCCCGTCTTGAACCTGTAGGGGAAGAGGGGGGTGTATGAGTGTATGAACGACCAAGATTACTTTCCCACCCCATGGGATTCACGACGACGGTGTTTCACGAATTACGCACCTCTTGAGCCTGCAAAAACTATATTCGAACTTCAGATTTACTCGAACAGATCCACGAGTTTCTCGAAGGCTTCCTTCATCACACAATGCAACTCTTTCTGAAAACCCGAAAACATATTTGAAATTTTTTTAAATAAAAACGAATAAGATTTCTTTGGCGATGCGGTGAAAGTCCCGACGTGAGCCTGAGCTAGTAAGTGGCAATGATGAGGATAATAAAATCACTCTGATATCGATAGTGAATAAAAAAAACATGCATAAAAAAACGTGAAAAGGATTCAGGTCCAGTATAGGAATTAGAGTTTGGACCTAAAAGAACGGGATAAGTATTTCTGTGTGTTTATACGGTCACGTATAATTATGAATTTTTCATCGAACGAAAATGATGCATTTTGACATGAAGGAATTTCCAACAGCACTCCAATGACTCCAGTTTTACTTGCTTTGAAAGGGCGAACACCGATGGTTTTGGACGAATCCCGGCATTACGCATTATTCACTGAAATAACTGGCTGTGTAAGAAAATTAATTTAGAGTAATAGCTATTCGGAGGATGACGCAATCCTCCCCGGAAAAGATTTCTCTTATTTAGAGGGATGAGAATCACTTTACTGATGATGCTGCAAATTTCCATGAATTTCCGAATTTTACTGATCATGCTTCAAATTATATTTTTTTTAATTCCCTATATTACCGTGGAAACCACGAATTTTCAGAAGTTTTCCGAGACTTCGTCCGCGAGAAAAGAAAATTTTCTGTTGTTCGCTGAACACTTGCAGTTACACGGAAAATGCCCGGATTTAAATCGCCATTCTTTCTTTTTGTCGCCCCTTTTTGACACAAAAATATGCACATTTCGTATGTCTACTTGCGAGGGCTATCTCACTTGGGCGCGACGTTGTTTATTTATTGGATAGGTATGACTTTAAAAAAAAGATTAAGCCCATGAGGTTGTAAGGTTCTAGAATTTTTCAGATTTGTAAAAAAAAAATTCAGTTCATTACATGATGATGAGTAAAACCTTTCCGGTTACATCCCGAGTTCTCCACCCATGCCACAAGGTGTTGAAAAATGTCAGGCCAGCTAATATCTTGTAATTTCTTTGTCGTTTCAACCATAACCTTTTTCTAAATTGTAGGTTATGGTTAAAACACAAAAAAAATTTTAAAGGTCGATCGGACCGTTCTAAAAACGAGGGACACTGTACCCGTTTTTTGATACTGGTACGGACCTTTCTTAAGTGAGTAGCAGTGCGTCATTTAACTTTAACGCAAAATTTTTATTTTTACCCCAGAACCTTGAAAAATCATGGCCTATATTATAATTTCTTTTCACGATCATACTTGCTCTAAAAAAATCAACCAAAGAAATAACTCAAGTGGGACAACCATCGTATAAGCGTGTGAATCGCCTCTATATACAGAACTGAAGCATGAGATGGCCTGTACTTTGAACGGAATAAGCAGGTTTCTGATCCAGTTACTGGTTTCGGGATTGATCGACATCCCCAATGCCCTTCCGTAATCAAGGTGGATATTCGCAAGAATCAATGGAACTTTCTAGATGGAGGGGGGGGGGGGGTTGTTTCTCCCCCGAAAATGTCTCCTATATATATATATATATATCCCGGGAAGTTTTCTTGCTGGAAGAAACCCGGACTGCCTGTTGCACCGAATTCGATAGACCGACCAGACCATGAAGCGAGGCGTCGGGATTATTTTTCCTCTTGAGCCTGCATAATGGAAGTAAAGTGTGCCGGAAAAGCCGTCAAAGGGTACGAAGGGCAAAAAGGCGGCAGAAGCCGTGTCGATTAATCAGGTCGACGCAGTTGCTGCTGGGGGAAATGATCACTTGCCTCTCTCGCTCATGATTTCCTTTGCTTTTTCGAGCAGAGCCATATGTCTTGTCGGAAACCTTGCATTTATGCGTCGGAATGAGGTCTGATTGGGTGTTCATTTTTATTTATTTTTTATTTGAATTGCAGCGAATATTGGGCCAAGGACTGACCCGAGAGGCACCAAGAAACCGGGCTACGGGTCCGGGAAAGAAACCCTTCGCCTGCGCGCCAATGCTCCGGCCACCGTTCAAGAAGCTGTGAGTTATTTTTAAATCGAAAAATCATAAAAAAGTTAACAAGCTTAGTAAATTTTTCATCACGCCACGACGCTGGAATATCACTAAGGCGTTGCCATTATCACTAATTTGAGCCAGAATAAATCACTATTGAATGGAAATTTTGTTGTAATGAAACCGCACCCGAAGTCACTTCAGTGATCGAGAAGCATCAAAATTCAGGCGACACCTATGTACTTTCAAAAAATTAAAATGTATCTAGTGATGAGGAACATCCGTCAGTTGGCATATAAGTAAGAATAAACGCGCTTTCTTCACCTCAATGTACTGTACAAGCAAAGATTCTCGTGTGACAAAACACATTACAGTATCCACTTCCAGTATAAGAGATTTAGAAGAGATTTCGCGATTTTATTCCTTCTTTTGGCCCAAATTTTGAGGATTCAGTGAAAAGCATATTTTTGAGAATTTTTTTTGCAATCCAATTGTGGCGTTGCTGACAGGAGACGAGTTCTATATTTAGCGCAGCGATTTTCAAAAATGTTTCTGAATTGTGCCAATTTTTTTGCATGATTGTGCATGAGTACCGAAGTCTGCGTAGGAGCCAAATAAATTATGTGCAATAGAAGTTTATGGAACTTTGGATATTTTAACGGAAGATTATCTTTGCGTGCAGATTTTTGATTGGGGTACTAGGGTTTTTGAATCATCTGCTGGAGGCGATTTTCTATAGTAAACAGAAATGCGGTTTATTCTTCTAAATCTTTCAGTTCTATATCTAAGCTCTCTTCCGTCTTCTCACGTGTACTGATTTACTATTCTTGAAGAGTCTTTATACTTCACCCGAGGAAAATCTCGTCTGATTATTCGATGAAGGACCACCTGTGCAAAAAGCGGGAATTTATCAAATTCGACACGATATACGCATTATAGGTCAATCATTGGTGTTTCTTCTGCCTCCGTTGACGTTAATTTCCCCTGGAAGCTCTCTCATCGAGATTGTTTGATTTGCACTAAGACTAAACAGCCCAGTATTTCATGATGTGCTCCTGATTTTCTGCTCTCTGCAGCCGGACGACGTCGTGGAGAGTGCCATCTCGAAAATCAACTCCCTGCTGGAGAACTTCTTGGGCATCAACGACTCCGACCTTGGTGAGACATTTGCTCTAACAGATGGTGCAGAAAAAAAATAAATACCCAGACTTGCCTCGTATTGTGGAATGAGGCCGTGGAATCTGGGACACCAGACCATGTTTTTGGCCCGTGAGGTTTCCCATGTCTGTTTGTAACTCGGAGAAGATTCTGCTGAGAGAATCCGCCGTCGGTATCCGCGGTTTCTGTGCTTTTTTTTTTAAATCTATTTTCAATAAGCTTCTGATTAAAAGCTGGATTTTTATTTGCTTAGAGACGAGATGTAACGCGAATAGTGAACGTTTTTCTCGATGACGGAGTATGATTATCTGAACATTTACTTTGGAGTGATACAGTCATACCTCGAAGTAGTGCCATGTCCTGGCGGCTTTTTGGCACGATCAAGCGAGATTGACACTAAATCGGGGTATTTTATGAGAGGAAGGTTCGGTTGAGAGGTGTCTACTGTTGGAAAACTAAGCATGTTTAAAGAATTACAGTATTGGGCCACAGGGTCTATATTATAGGGGAGAAATCCTCATAAATAATTTTGAAGCTGAAATGCAATGGCTTTATTTTGTATCTTCTCGTATCTAATAAGGCTGAGGTTATTAGATTTTTATGCATATTGTGTAAGGTAGAACAGCAGAACAGCTTTTTTGAAGTTTTGTTTGTGTTTGACATGTAGGTGTTCCTTAGTTCAGAAATGACTAATATTTCCGGGAAATAAGCTCCGAGTTCTTTCATTATAAAATTACCAATAAAGAAAAGTATCGTGCAGCATGAAAAAAAAGACAATGGTTTCGATCCAGAAGTAGCTTGTTCAGAATTACGCTGACTTTTATTTTGGGATCATGGGTATGTCATTCTCCGTGATATCTGTCGCGGGTCGACTAGATGTCGCCCGCAGCGCACGAACAGGAGAGGCACAGAAAGTGCGACGCAGCGCATGGAAACGCTACGTCGTACGAGAAAATAAATTCGAGAATATTGTGGAATCTGGACTTTGGAGAGAACAGACCTGCTGATTTATTTGTGTGACTTATTGCTGGGAATTATTTGTGGACTTGGATACTTTATTTATAAACAGAAGTTGAGGGTTCAGGACCCTTAGGCCGCAAACGGCCGATTGTGCATTCATCAGTTTATTCACTATAAACCTATTCTTTGTGTTGGGGTCTGAGGGCCTCTCACAATATCCCAATGGTATCCCTGGAAAAAGGCTTCAACTTCTTGGATTTTGGATCCAGAACAAGATTTTTTTTGTTACTCATTGATTTGGCACTAACTTGAGTGAATTGAGAGGGGGAACTAAATTGAGAATTGACTGCATTTCCAGGAAATGCAAGTCCTCGGGATGAGTACCAGCCGTTATTGAAATCCCCGTGTTTCCAGGGTTTCCTGTCGTGGCATTGGACTCCCCATTTTTTCATTTTTATTTTGCTGGTGTCTCAATTTCAAAGCTTCCACAGCTCAGTTCCTAGAATGAGATGTGTAAAGTGGGAGAGAGAGAGTCGCCATGACCTGTTATGTTACTCTGTTGCTGGGCCTGAGGCCAGGCTGTCTTTCATCAACCCCAAAGTGTCACTATAACGACGAGGAGCTTGATCCCCGGGTCGCGGGTTTTGCTCCAGGCGAGGATCAGGTCTGGTTCTGGTCGTTGATGATGACGGTCGTGGCCTACGATGATCACCGTCTTCTTCGACCCCGTGAGATAAAAGCATATACTGCTTATACAGTATTGAGAATTACGTACTGTAATAATCATTTTTTAAATCGAATTTGTATCACTTTGAGAAGAGGTCGAGAATTACGTGCAAACTCCCGGAATTATTCTTGTGCTAAATGCAAAATTTTCAGAACGTTTTTTGTCCATAGTAGTGGGCTTCGAGTAATCTGAAAACATTTTCCTAAATTGGAGGCAAGCAAAAATCGATGAATGACATTGGATGGTTGACCTTAGAGGGCCTAATTTTTGAAAATTCTCATAATCTCCGACTATGTATATTGGTTTTAGCTTCAGTTCCGAATGTGGGAGTCAACCATTCTTAATATTTTCTCTCGTCGACAATATGCCGCGCACCACCTTGCAATTGACACAGTTACAGTAAAATATCGTTACAACAAAGCCGTTAGGATCAGTCGAATATAGCTCCTTTGAAATAATCGGTAGATAAAACCACAAACAAACGTTTTAGCTTTTGGACTGCGACCTAAAAAACAAAATCGTTGGGATTTCTCGATTTACAATGAAAGTCGTTGTGATGATATTTTACTGCGCTGTAAAATCTAGTTACAACAAATACCGTTGCCACAATTTTTGCAGTATGACAAACTTTCTCTTGAGTCGCAACAGAAATTCCATCCAATCCTGGTTTACCGTGTAAGGTTTTACCAGTAAGAATCAGATTAATCAAGCCTTACACCTTGATTGCGGTTCTTAGCAGAGTTTCCAGGATTTAGATTTTTCAAGATAGAGAAAAAATAAATCAGAACACGGCAATTGGCCGGGCGCGAACCGACCGGGATTTCTCCCTACTAGCGCAGACCTTTCTTTGATACACACACACACACACACTTCTTGTTAAATTATACACACGGTTTGTACAAAATACAAGGTATACACACTCAGATGTACAAGATTTGCANTGATGCGCCGATTGGATTACAGTTTTGGCTCCAATTTGGCGCCTTGTTTCATAGAGGGACCGCGAGAAAATTCCGCACAAAAATCCCCCCGCGTCCTTGAATGACCCTCTTTTCCAGAAGGGGTTAATTCAAGACGCAGTCAAAATAAAAAGGGTGCGAATTTTCGCGAAAAGTCACAGTGTTCAAACGAGGATCGCCGAGTGCGGGAGCTCCTGGTGTCAGGAATCGGACGTTGATTTTGTTGTCAGGTTCTTGATTTTGGTGATGCTCCCGGATGAGGCTTGAACTTCTGTTTGTTTTTGAAGTGCTTGAAAAGAAAGAGTTGTTTTAGGGTTTTTGAAAAGTTTTCAAGTTCTGTTCACAAGTCCGAGGGCAGGGTAGCTAATCCTGCCCGACTCGTTTCTTGGTGGTTCGTCTCGGTGCTTTGAGTGTGCCATAGTTGGCTGAGGTTTTTTCTACTCGGTACTTTGAGTGTATCACCGTCAGCTTCCTGGTGTCGGGAATCGGACGTTGATTTTGTCGTCAGGTTCTTGATTTCGGTGATGCTCCCGGATGAGGCTTGAACTTCTGTTTGGTTTTGAAGTGCTTGAAAGGAAAGAGTTGTTTTAGGTTTTTTGAAAAAGTTTTTCAAGTTCTGTTAACAAGTCCGAGGGCAGGGTAGCTAATCCTGCCCGACTCGTTTCTCGGTGGTTTGTCTCGGTGCTTCGAGTGTGCCATAGTTGGCGGAGATTTTTTCTACTCGGTACTTTGAGCGTATCACCGTCAGCGAGAAAATATTCGGTTAAATTCTCGAGACCAGGTACTTTTGGTCGGAATAGTTTTTCCTTGTGGTTTAATCTTTGTAAGAAAAGATTTTTTGCTCGAGAGTCGCTTTTAAGTTGTCTTTTTGTGTTAAGTGTCCGAAGGGACAAGATGTCGCTTCTTCGCGTTCGGCTCTTCGTCAATCTGAGCTTCTTCGATCCTTTAGAGGGTCTAAGAACCGGTTGATTCAGGGCTGAATCATTCCTGGTGTCGGGAATCGGACGTTGATTTTGTCGTCAGGTTCTTGATTTCGGTGATGCTCCCGGATGAGGCTTGAACTTCTGTTTGGTTTTGAAGTGCTTGAAAGGAAAGAGTTGTTTTAGGTTTTTGAAAAAGTTTTTCAAGTTCTGTTTTTACAAGTCCGAGGGCAGGGTAGCTAATCCTGCCCGACTCGTTTCTCGGTGGTTTGTCTCGGTGCTTTGAGTGTACCATAGTTGGCGGAGAAATCTTCTACTCGGTACTTTGAGCGTATCACCGTCAGCGAGAAAATATTCGGTTAAATTCTCGAGACCAGGTACTTTTGGTCGGAATAGTTTTTTCTTTTTGGGTTTTAATCTTTGTAAGAAAAGATTTTTTGCTTCAAGAGTCGCTTAAAAGTTGTCTTTTTGTGTTAAGTGTCCGAAGGGACAAGATGTCGCTTCTTCGCGTTCGGTTCTTCGTCAATCTGAGCTTCTTCGATCCTTTAGAGGGTCTAAGAACCGGTTGATTCAGGGCTGAATCAGAGGTCCCCCTTTTTGAGGTGGTCCGCCATTTTAAGCCTCTCTCCTCAGTTGGTCTTTGACCTGCAGTTGTGCAAGACCTCTTTTCTAGTGTTGCTTTTTTCCATTTGCCGAAGCCGGCGGAAGGGGAAGGAGTTTTTCATAAGGAAGGTGTTTGGAAACTCAGTTACCGGTCGGGAGATTGTACTTGGTTTCTTCCGATCAGTAGTTGAGTTGCTGAAAACCTCCTTTTTTGCGAATCGTCGGAATTGGACGAAGTCTTCCGACTCCTTTTCTTTAGACCACATTTGGTTTTTCTTGCTTGGCGGTCGAGGGGAATATCCTCGTGTTTTTAGTCGAGGGTATCCGCCACGTCTGTCATGTGAGAACCTCAGGAGGTGGTAAAGAAGGGTTTCGATATATTCTTGTTTAATGTGCCAATTCTGGCTATTTTCCTTTTCGTCGGAAAAATGCATGTTCGTCGTACGGTGGGATCTCGGAGCTGTTCTCGACTGAGTCCCACTTCACGTCGTTCGTGAAATTTTTGCCGGAGATATCGTCGGGGTTTCTTGTAACTGCATTCGGTATTGAAGAGGGTTGCGGGGCCGGGTACCCTAGTTTTGATTCTCTTGGGTAACCGCCGCCCCCGCGGCTATCTTTAGTATTGAAGATTCAGCGAAAGCCTTTTTGCGATTTTATTTTGGATTCTTAAAGTGTGCCAAAGTTGGCAGTGGTTGTGTTCGATATTGGGGAGGGTTGCGGGGAAGGGTACCCTAGTTTTGCTTTTCTTGGGTAACCTCCTCCACCGCGACCGTCTTTAGTATTGAATGTTCGGCGAAAGCTCTCGTGCCTTTGTTTTCTCAACTCTAAGTGTGCCAAACTTGGCAGTAATTTTCTCTGAAATTGAGGAGGGCTGCGGAAACGGGTACCCTAGTTTTGGTTCCCTTGGGTAACCGTCTCTTCCGCTGCTATCTTCGGTTTTGGAGCTTCGAAAAGGAGTTTTGTACCTTCACTTATAGATCCAAGGTGTGCCAAAATTGGCAGAGAATATCCCCTTTTATTGAAATTGGTTTTGTGTATGGTCGAGGGGGCATAGGACTTGAGGTTTGTTCAAAATCACGTCTTGTCCCCACCGATCATGTACCGGGCCAATTTTGGCGAAGGAAGGTGGGGGGTTATCGGATCCTCCTTTTTGGCTTTTTTATTCGGTTATCTACTTGGTCGTCAAGGGATGTTATCCTTAGTTTTTTCGAAAGGGGGTATCTCCCATGACGGTCATATTTGATGCCGTGAGTTGGCTAGTAGGAAGTTTTTTGCAAAAATTTTCTAAATTTTTCGGTTTTGTGAGTGTTGAAAGGGACGATTGAAATCTCAGGCAGAGATTAGAGGCTCGAAGACTGACCTTTGATTTCCGACTGGGATCTTGATAGTTTCTTTTCGTTCATCAGTTCTGTTTCGATTCAGGTGTTTTCCAATTTTCTTGAGCTGAGATTGGGTATTGTTTAAAATGAGAAAACTTTTCTCTTTTTCGTTAACAGAGAAGCTCGTTCCTTTACCTTTTGAGGAGACTTTCCCATTGAATCTTTTGGATTTGTTAAAACGGTCGAAAAAGAAAATTAAAAAAGAATGTCGGATTCGGAAAAGGTTGTGGAGCCCTTTGATGTGGCAGAATCGAATGAGTCCTATAGTGAGGCTCAAGGGGAGAAGGAAATGGAATCGGACCTTCCTATATTAATTGAAGATTCAGATGAGNGATTACAGTTTTGGCTCCAATTTGGCGCCTTGTTTCAAAGAGGGACTGCAAGAAAATTCCGCACAAAAATCCCCCGCGTCCTTGAATGACCCTCTTTTCCGGAAGGGGTTAATTCAAGACGCAGCAAAAATAAAAAGGGTGCAAATTTTCGCAAAAAGTCACAGTGTTCAAACGAGGATTGCTGAGTGCTGGAGCTCCTGGTGTCGGGAATCGGACGCTGATTTTTGTCGTCAGGTTCTTGATTTCGGTGATGCTCCTGGACGAGGCTTGAACTTCTGTTTGTTTTGAAGTGCTTGAAAAGAAAGAGTGGTTTTTTAGGTTTTTGAAAAGTTTTCAAGTTCTGTTCACAAGTCTGAGGGCAGGGTAGCTAATCCTGCCCGACTCGTTTCTCGGTGGTTCGCCTCAGTGCTTCGAGTGTGCCATAGTTGGCGGAGGTTTTTTCTACTCGGTACTTTGAGTGTGTCACCGTCAGCGAGAAAATATTCGGTTAAATTCTCGAGACCAGGTACTTTTGGTCGGAATAGGTTTTCTTTTTGGCTAGTCTTTGTAGGAAAAGATTTTTTGCTCAAGAAATGTTGGCGGAGGTTTTTTTTTTTCTACTCGGTACTTTGAGTGTGTCACCGTCAGCGAGAAAATATTCGGTTAAATTCTCGAGACCAGGTACTTTTGGTTGGAATAAGTTTTCTTTTGGCTAGTCTTTGTAGGAAAAGATTTTTTGCTCAAGAAATGCTTTTTAGTCATCTTTTCGTGTTAACTGTCCGAAAGGACAAGATGTCGCTTCTCCGAGTTCGGCTCTTTGTCAATCTGAGCTTCTTCGATCCTTCAGAGGGTCTAAGAACCGGTTGATTCAGGGCTGAATCAGAGGTTCCCCCTTTTTGGGGTGGTCCGCCATTTTAAACCTCTTCCCTCAGTTGGTCTTTGACCTGCAGTTGTTTCAGATCTCTTTTCTAGTGTTGCTTTTTTCATTTGCCGAAGCCGGCGGAAAGGGAAGGAGTTTTCCGTAAGGAAGGTGTTTGGAAACTCAGTTACCGGTTGGGAGATTGTACTTGGTTTCTTCCGATCAGTAGTTGAGTTGCTGAAAACCTCCTTTTTTGGTGAATCGTCGGAATTGGAAGAGGTCTTCCGACTCCTTTTCTTCAGACCACATTTGGTGTTTCTTGCTTGGCGGCCGAGGGGAATATCCTCGTGTTTTTAGTCGAGGGTATCCGCCACGTCTGTCATGTGAGAACCTCAGGAGGTGGTAAAGAAGGGTTTGGATATATTCTTGTTAATGTGCCAATTCTGGCGGTTTTTTCGTCGGAAAAATGCATGTTCGTCGTACGGTGGGATCTCGGAGCTGTTCTCGACTGAGTCCCACTTCACGTCGTTCGTGAAATTTTTGCCGGAAATATCGTCGGGGTTTCTTGTAACTGCATTTGGTATTGAAGAGGGCTGCGTGGCCGGGTACCCTAGTTTTGGTTCTCTTGGGTAACCGCCGCCACCGCGGCTATCTTTAGTATTGAAGATTCGGCGAAAGCTTTTTTGCGATTCTCATTTTGGATTTTAAAGTGTGCCAAAGTTGGCAGTGGTTGTGTTCGATATTGAGGAAGGCTGCGGGGAAGGGTACCCTAGTTTTGGTTTTCTTGGGTAACCTCCTCTACCGCGGCTGTCTTTGGTATTGAATGTTCGGCGAAAGCTCTCGTGCCTTTGTTTTCCAACTCTAAGTGTGCCAAACTTGGCAGTAGTTGTGTCTGAAATTGAGGAGGGCTGCGGGAACGGGTACCCTAGTTTTGGTTCTCTTGGGTAACCGTCTCTTCCGCTGCTATCTTCGGTTTTGGAGCTTCGAAAAAGAGTTTTCGTACCTTTGTTTATAGATCCAAGGTGTGCCAAAATTGGCAGAGAATATCCCCTTTATTGAATTGGTTTTGTGTATGGTCGATGGGGCATTGGACTTGAGGTTGTTTGAAATCAAGTCTTGCCCCCATTGATCATGTACCGAGCCAACTTTGGCGATGAAAGGTGGGGGGGTTATCGGATCCTCTTTTTTGGCTTTTTCATTTGGTTATCTACTTGGTTGTCAAGGGATGTTATCCTTAGTTTTTTTAGAAAGGGATATCCCCCATGACGGTCATACTTGATGCCGTAAGTCGGCTAGTAGGAAGTTTTTGCAAAAAATTAGCAAAATTTTTCTAGATTTGTCGGTTTTGTAAGTGTTGAAAGGGACGATTAAAATCTCAGGCAGAGATTAGAGGCTCGAAGACTGACCTTTGATTTCCGACTGGGATCTTGATAGTTTCTTTTCGTTCATCAGTTTTGTTTTGATTCAGGTGTTTTCTAATCTTCTTGTGCTGAGATTGGGTATTGTTTAAAATGAGAAAATTTTTCTCTTTTTCGTTAACAGAGAAGCTCGTTCCTTTACTTTTTGAGGAGACTTTGCTATTGAACCTTTTGGATTCGTTAAAACGGTTGAAAAGAAAATTGAGAGAATGTCGGATTCGGAAAAGGTTGTGGAGCCCTTTGATGTGGCAGAATCGAATGAGTCCTACAGTGAGGCTCAAGGGGAGAAGGAGATGGAATCGGACCTTCCTATATTAATTGAAGATTCAGATGAGGAGGGAGAGGCTATGGGTAAGTTTTTAAAGAACAGGTGGTTTGAGCATTGCAAAAATAAAAAATTTTACTCTTTTTGAATTGAAAACCCCCTTTTTTAGAATTGGGAGAGGTTAAAGATGACGACAAACTTTCTCAAGAGGTCCCCCTGGAGCGCTGTTCTTCTGCTGACACTTTTACGGTTACCTTGCCAAAGTCTGCTGTGGACCTGGCCAAAAAACTTGCTTCACTTTCTGATGCCAGTCTTCAACGCATTGGGGATTTTCTTCCATTTCTGGAAAACGAGAAAAATGCTCAGATTGGGAGGGATGGCCTTAAAGCTGAACTCGACCGTCTTCAAAAAGAGTCTCAACAGTATGCTGAGCACATTTCTTCTCAAAAACGTATTTTGCAAAAATACGTTTTAGAGGAGAAAGAGATTTCTGAGAAGCGGGAGAATTTAGAGGAATGCGGGGAGGTTATAGCGGAATTACATGAACGGGAGGAGAGTCAGCTACTTCAAGTAGAGGCTTCTATGAGACGCCAGATGGAGCGTCATTCGGCCGTTTTTCAAAGCGCTCTTAGTGGTATCCCCCAGGTTTATCTGGCTGAGGGGATAGGTTTCACCTCCAGTACACTCAGTAAGAGTATTAAATTTTCATTTTAACATTAGTTTTTACTCAGTATTGATTTTATTTCTTCTGATCTCCCTTTTATCTTAGAACTTACAACTGGGGATCTTCAGGTGTGGACGGTTGGTGAGACTAAGGTCTTTTTGGGGAGCGTGGAGGCCATTCAAGAGTACTGGATGGAGGATGCTAAGTTTGCGGCGACTCAACGTCGTAACAAGCAATCAATCATTAATTTGCTAAAACAGTTGAAGACCCCTGAAACTCTTGCTGCTGCTAAACGTCCTCGTACAAATGAGGAGAGTTCTGTTGTTGAGCATTCCCAGGCTTTAGATGCTTTATCAAAAAGAGTGAAGACAAAGGGGTCTGTGCCTCTTCAAGTAACATCAGCTTTGGTTAAAAGAGAAGTAAAGCAAGGGGCTTTTGGCTTTGACATGGAGGAGGAGCTTCTGGATTTGCTGAATCCTTGTAAGATTTCTTAAAGTAAACAAAATTTTAGTTTGAAAATCTTATTGTAACCCCTTTTCTCAAATTCTGTTCTTGCTCAGGGCATTGCTATCATCCCTTCAGAGGGAGTCTATTCGAGCCAGAGGATCCGATTGGGTATAAGCGCAACGTTTTCAAGCGCTTTGGTTTGGACATACAGAAGTTGGACAAGGATTCAAAGCATTTTCTTCCGGTTCCGGGCTGCGTTGTACAAGACTACACATATGGTTCACCCCAAAATTGTCATCAAGGGGCAAAATTGAAAAACTACCCTAGTTTTGGTTCTCTTGGGTAACCGCCGCCACCGCGGCTATCTTTAGTATTGAAGATTCGGCGAAAGCTTTTTGCGATTCTCATTTTGGATTTTAAAGTGTGCCAAAGTTGGCAGTGGTTGTGTTTGATATTGAGGAAGGCTGCGGGGAAGGGTACCCTAGTTTTGCTTTTCTTGGGTAACCTCCTCTACCGCGGCTGTCTTTGGTATTGAATGTTCGGCGAAAGCTCTTGTGCCTTTGTTTTTCCAACTCTATGTGTGCCAAACTTGGCAGTAGTTGTGTCTGAAATTAAGGAGGGCTGCGGGAACGGGTACCCCAGTTTTGGTTCTTTTGGGTAACCGTCTCCTTCGCGGCTATCTTCGGTTTTGGAGCTTCGACAAAGAGTTTTTCGTACCTTCGTTTATAGATCCAAGGTGTGCCAAAATTGGCAGAGAATATCCCTTTTATTGAATTGGTTTTGTGTATGGTCGATGGGGCATTGGACTTGAGGTTGTTCGAAATCAAGTCTTGCCCCCATCGATCATGTACCGAGCCAACTTTGGCGATAAAAGGTGGGGGGGTTATCGGATCCTCTTTTTTGGCTTTTTCATTCGGTTATCTACTTGGTCGTCAAGGGATGTTATCCTTAGTTTTTTCAGAAAGGGATATCCCCCATGACGGTCATACTTGATGCCGTGAGTCGGCTAGTGGGAAGTTTTTTCAAAAAATTAGCAAAATTTTTCTAGATTTGTCGGTTTTGTAAGTGTTGAAAGGGACGATTAAAATCTCAAGCAGAGATTAGAGGCTCGAAGACTGACGTTTGATTTCCGACTGGGATCTTGATAGTTTCTTTTCGTTCATCAGTTTTGTTTTGATTCAGGTGTTTTCTAATTTTCTTGTGCTGAGATTGGGTGTTGTTTAAAAATGAGAAAAATTTTCTCTTTTTTGTTAACAGAGAAGCTCGTTCCTTTACTTTTGAGGAGACTTTGCTATTGAACCTTTTGGATTCGTTAAAACGGTTGAAAAGAAAATTAAGAGAATGTCGGATTCGGAAAAGGTTGTGGAGCCCTTTGATGTGGCAGAATCGAATGAGTCCTACAGTGAGGCTCAAGGGGAGAAGGAGATGGAATCGGACCTTCCTATATTAATTGAAGATTCAGATGAGGAAGGAGAGGCTATGGGTAAGTTTTAAAGAACAGGTGGTTTGAACGTTGCAAGAATAAAAAATTTTACTCTTTTTGAATTGAAAACCCTTTTTAGAATTGGGAGAGGTTAAAGATGATGTCAAACTCTCTCAAGAGGTCCCCCTGGAGCGCTATTCTTCTGCTGATACTTTTACGGTTACTTTGCCAAAGTCTGCTGTGGACCTGGCCAAAAAACTTGCTTCACTTTCTGATGCTAGTCTTCAACGCATTGGGGATTTTCTTCCATTTCTGGAAAACGAGAAAAATGCTCAAATTGGGAGGGATGGTCTTAAAGCTGAACTCGACCGTCTTCAAAAGGAGTCTCAACAGTATGCTGAGCACATTTCTTCTCAAAAACGTATTTTGCAAAAATACGTTTTAGAGGAGAAAGAGATTTCTGAGAAGCGGGAGAATTTAGATGATGCTAGTCTTCAACGCATTGGGGATTTTCTTCCATTTCTGGAAAACGAGAAAAATGCTCAGATTGGGAGGGATGGCCTTAAAGCTGAACTCGACCATCTTCAAAAAGAGTCTCAACAGTATGCTGAGCACATTTCTTCCCAAAAACGTATTTTGCAAAAATACGTTTTAGAGGAGAAAGAGATATCTGAGAAGCGGGAGAATTTAGAGGAATGCGGGGAGGTTATAGCGGAATTACACGAACGGGAGGAGAGTCAGCTACTTCAAGTAGAGGCTTCTATGAGACGCCAGATGGAGCGTCATTCGGCTGTTTTTCAAAGCGCTCTTAGTGGCATCCCCCAGGTTTATCTGGCTGAGGGGATAGGTTTCACCTCTAGTACACTCAGTAAGAATATTAAATTTTCATTTTTAATAATAGTTTTTAGTCGGTATTGATTTTATTTCTTCTGATCTCCCCCTTTTATCTTAGAACTTACATCTTCTCAAAAACGTATTTTGCAAAAATACGTTTTAGAGGAGAAAGAGATTTCTGAGAAGCGGGAGAATTTAGAAGAATGTGGGGAAGTTATAGCGGAGTTACATGAAAGGGAGGAGAGCCAACTTCTTCAGGTGGAGGCTTCTATGAGACGCCAGATGGAGCGTCATTCGGCCGTTTTTCAAAGCGCTCTTAGTGGTATCCCCCAGGTTTATCTGGCTGAGGGGATTGGTTTCACCTCCAGTACACTCAGTAAGAATATTAAATTTTCATTTTACATATTAGTTTTTTAGTCAGTATTGATTTTATTTCTTCCGATCTCCCCCTTTTATCTTAGAACTTACAACTGGGGATCTTCAAATATGGACGGTTGGTGAAACTAAGATCTTTTTGGGAAGCGTGGAGGCAATTCAAGAATACTGGATGGAGGATGCTAAATTTGCGGCGACTCAACGTCGTAATAAGCAGTCAATTATTAATTTGCTGAAACAGCTAAAGACCCCTGAGAATCTGGCCGCTGCTAAACGTCCCCGTACAAATGAGGAAAGTGGTATTGTTGAGGACTCCCAGGCTTTAGATGCCTTATCAAAGAGGGTGAAAACAAAGGGTTCTGTGCCTCTTCAAGTTGCATCAGCTTCCGTTAAAAGAGAGGTGAAGCAAGGGGCTTTTGGTTTTGACATGGAGGAGGAGCTTCTGGACTTGCTGAATCCTTGTAAGATTTTCTAAAGCAAACAAAATTTTAATTTGAAAATTTTATTGTAACCCCCTTTTTCAAATTCTGTTTTGCTCAGGGCATTGCTATCATCCCTTCAGAGGAAGTCTATTCGAGCCAGAGGATCCGATTGGGTATAAGCGCAACGTTTTCAAGCGCTTTGGTTTGGACTTACAGAAGTTGGACAAAGATTCAAAGCATTTTCTTCCGGTTCCGGGTTGCGTTGTACAAGATTACACATATGGTTCGCCCCAGAATCGTCATCAAGGGGCAAAATTGAAAAATTCAGGGAAAGGCCCTTGTGTTTTGCTTCTTGGCACTTCTTTAACTGTTCCTTGGAGACTGGCCGAAGGGCGCAATACATTTTGTGATAACATCCGACCCGAAAAGGCCACAACCAGAGCGGTTTTTGATTTCGAGCATCTTCTTGCTGGGAGGGGCATAGAATTGTATCAGGTAGAGGAATAAAGCATTCTTTTTGCAAGTTCTCTTTTTGGAACGCGAGATTTTACTGAATTTTCTTTCATTTTCTTTTCAGTACTCGTTAAGTGGATGGTCTGCTTTGGTTGGAGAGGGACAAGTGGTTTCTCCTGAAGAAATGCGTAACAGGGTGTACGCGGATCTACATTTGAGTTCTTCCTTTCGCTTTACTCATGTTTTTGTTAGAGTGGGGACAAATGATTTAAAGAATTTAACTGAACCTGACGTTATTTGTCATTATCCCAATTTCGGACATTTTCTGCAAGCTCTCTATGGGTATTTTGATGAACTTTCCCGAGCTTTTGATGCGCCAGTCCTGGCTTTGGGGGCTTCAGCTCCCCCTGCGTTAGCGCAAGGGAGTAATACATATTTGATGGAAAAGATGGATCTGGACTTGCAAGGGGTTCCTCTAATCCCTCTTAGGAATAACGGGGTTCCAATTTTGAGTCAAAGAGGGCGCGAAAGCGCCGGTCATGCTTTTCAGATGGCCTTATACAATGGTTTAAAGACTAAAATTGGAAAAAGGCAAGGGGCTCTAAGCGGGAAGGGATGGTGGGCAGTACCGACTCCGGTCAGGCATCTTGCTGCTTTTGATAGGTCAGATCGTACAAAGTTGTCCTTTGGCCACATACACACTCGGGCCTATCTGTTTTTTGCCCAGCTTCATGCTGCGGCTATTTGTTTTGGGTTGGAGTGGACCCAGTGTCTGAACAAGACTTGGGGGGCATTTGCTTGTGCTGGTAGCTGCCCGTACTGGCTGTCAGTGCCGACTCCGGTTAGGCATCTTGCTGCTTTTGATAGGTCAGATCGTACAAAGCTGTCCTTTGGCCACATACATACTCGGGCCTATCTGTTCTTTGCCCAGCTTCATGCTGCGGCTATTTGCTTTGGGTTGGAGTGGACCCAGTGCCTGAACAAGACTTGGGGGGCATTTGCTTGTGCTGGTAGCTGCCTGTACTGGCTGGACAGTGGAAAAACTGCTCCAGGGATACCCCCTGGATTACCTCATCATCATTCTACGGATCATGGTCCCAAGGAGTGTTTTGGGAATGGACCTTTCCATATCAACCCGGCAGTTATTGGATCGGGAGGTGATCCTTTCAGACAGTAAGTCTCTCAAAAAACTGATGGTTTTAAAATCAGTATTTACAATGTTTTCTTTTCTCCCTTTCAGGATGGACGAAATCTTAAGTCAGAAGATGTTCCTGGAAGTCTTCTCTGCGGACTTCTTGTGCTCGGACCCCAAGAGAGCTGTGTCTGGACGTTTCGTCGTGGGATCATCATCTCGAGTTGGGAATTCCTCACAAAGAAAATTCATAATATCAAAGGTCGGGGACAAGGCCTGGGTTGTGGGAGAGGGAGGTCTAGAGTTTGCGGAAATGGCATCTCTTTCTCGTTATGTTTAAAGAACTCTCCCAATTTTCGGCGGAATTGTGTTTTGTGAAGGGTCTCTCTTTTGGTTGAAGGGTTTTTGTAATCATGTTTTTGCACAGTTTTGTTTAATAAAAGTCGTTTGAACCTCAATTGCTTGTTCTCATGGTTTCTTGCTCACAAAACTTCCAAGGCTGGTTAGGAATTTCTTTTCTGTCCTCTCAGAGTCCGCTTCTAGGGGCACCAGATTTTGAACTGATTGATTCTTCAATAAGAATTTTGTACAAGACCCGTCGGGGTTGGTTCCCGTAGTCTCCACATCTACTGATCTAATTCTACCATCCCTTGGACTTTCATGAAGATGGACTATTCTGGCAAGTCTCCATTTCAATCTGTTGAGAGGAGCGTTTTCTTTGAAAGAATTTTTCTTTAGAAAGACAATTTGATCCACTACTGGTTGTAGGCTTGTTTCTTGACCCCGTTGAGTGGGGAATTGTCTTAACTCTCGTAAATAGGTTTCATAAAAGAAATTCCAAATATTCTTCATAAGTTTAATTCTGTGTTTGGCAGCATGGCCAAGACCAACTTTGGATCCTTCCAGAAACTGAACAGGAGGGGGGCCATACAGTAGGGGATTAAAAGAGGGATCTGCCTGATAAGGATTGATAAACATAGAGGGTGTTACAGGCATAGGATCGTCTCTGTCATCAGAAATGTAAGTTAATGGTCGAGAGTTTATTAGTCTTTCGATATATGAGAGAGCTGCCATTAGTGCATTAGGACTTTTGTAGGGCAGTCCCTTGAATACTCTTGCCAGTCTATCTTTAATTAGGCGCATCATTCTTTCATAAAAACCTCCCCACCAAGGAGCTCTAGAAGTCTCGTAAATAGGTTTCATAAAAGAAATTCCAAATGTTCTTCATAAGTTTAATTCTGTGTTTGGCAGCATGGCCAAGACCAACTTTGGATCCTTCCAGAAACTGAACAGGAGGGGGGCCATACAGTAGAGGATTAAAAGAGGGATCTGCCTGATAGGGATTGATAAACATAGAGGGTGTTACAGGCANAAACCTCCCCACCAGGGAGCTCTAGAGGCGTTAAAATGCCATTGGATACCTCTAATTCTATTCTCGATTTGCATATGTTTTGCCCGTAAGATTAGTGGCCAGGCAGCTTTAAAAGTAGCTGCGTTGTCTGAAATCAGCACAGAGGGCTGAACGTCTCTTTTATTGCAGAATGTTTCATAGACGTCAATAAAGGATTTTAAAGTGAGGTCCATTACTGGTTCTAAGTGAATGGCTCTGGTCATAGCACAAGAGAAGACACAAATGGAGAATTTTACTCTATCAGGTGTTTTAAAGGGTCCCACAAAGTCAATACCGGTTGCAGCAAATGGGACAATGCCATTGTATCTAAAGTCTGGGACTCCCCGCGTTCCTCCGTATTTCCCAAACCGCAGTTTTGCGGACGTGGTTCATGTTAAAAAGGAATACCAAAAACGGTCTGTAGACCGAGCTTTAATCCAAAAGGTTTTTCCCATAAAGGTTAGGAGGGCATTAGGAGAGGCATGTCCTAAGTCTTCATGAAAGGTTTTCATCAATGCTTTCACAAAGTTTAAGGGGTCTTTTTTCTTAGGGGATGGTAAATAAATGAGAGCTGATCTTGCTAAGTTCCCCTTGTAAGACTTAAAAGTTTTGTCTCTTGCTTGACAGCTGACTGAAAGAATCAGACCCAGTCTTTCATTCCAAACCAAATCCAGTTTTCTTTCCACTATCTCTCCCAATTTTAGAGTATGCCATTCCTCTGGGGATTTGAGTCTTTGGACCACCCTAAAAGTTTCAACAATGCCTTCATATAGTTCGCGAGAAGCAAGGTTATTCAGAAACCCTGTGCCCTTTTCAAAGAGTCCATCAGACTGGGAATGGAAGGGCTTTCCAATTTTTGATTTGTCTAGTGAGACTCCCCTTTTAACTTGTGTCCTGTGTCTGAAAAACTCTTTAATTTTTAACCAGGTTGTGGTTCTGATGATGGTTCTGCTCCAATCATCTGAGATTCCTGTATAAACCTTTTCAAGTGTAAGCTCAATCTCAGTGGAAACTACTGGTCTAATTCTAGCAGCAGAAACTCCTATTCCAACTTTTGATATGTCTAGTGAGACTCCCTTTTTAATTCGTGCCCTATGTCTGAAAAACTCTTTAATTTTTAACCAAGTTGTGGTTCTGATGATGGTTCTGCTCCAATTATCTGAGATTCCTGTATAAACCTTTTCAAGTGTAAGCTCAATCTCAGTGGAAATTACTGGTTTAATTCTAGCAGCAGAAACTCCTATCTCAATAGTTTGCTTTGGCCATTCTATTGGGTGAGGTAACCATTTTGGTCCTTTCCACCATATTGAATCAGGTGTTAGGTCTTCAAGTTTAACCCCTCTAGAAGCTGAATCAGCTGGATTGTCAACACCTGGAGTATGCCTTCATCTGGAGGGCAGGGATCCCCCTAGAATAGTTTCAATTCTGGTTCTAATATATGGTACAGATTGGATTTTTCCTGACTTAATCCATTGTAAAACTACCTCTGAATCAGTCCAAAAGTGGACACAGTTCATTTTGATGTCCATGGACTTCATAGTTTCCAGGACAAGTCTCAGTCCCAAGCAGGCTGCTGACAATTCAAGTCTGTTTACTCAAAATTTCTCATTTG